CTCAATAAAGGAATGAATGTGTCTATTGTTTCATATGCTCTCTAAACTCAGAAAAACAATAAACAAACCAAAAAAAAAATTACTCAGAAAAACAGAAAAAAAATTACTCAGAAAAAATACTCAGAAAAACAGAAATAATTATTCCAAAAAACAAACCAAAAAATAAATTACTCTGAAAAAGAGAAATAATTACTCAGAAAAACAAACCAAAAAAGTTCCAGTAATATAATAATAATAATAATAACAGCAATAATAATAATAATAATTGTAATTGTTATATACAATATATAATAATAATAATAATAATAATAATATGTATTATTATAAATATATATAATATATAATAATAATACAAATAATAATAATAATAACAGCAATAATAATAATAATTATAATAATAATAATTGTAATTGTTATATACAATATATAATAATAATCATAATCATAATATCTATTATTATAAATATATATAATATATAATAATAATTAAAACAATAATAATAATAATAATAATTATTATTATAAATATATATACAATATATAATAATAATAAAAAATAATAATAATAATAATTATTATTATTATTTATGTATTATTATTATTATTATTACTATTATTATTATTAATAATAATAATAATACCCCCAGTAAAGACTTACAGCTCTGCAGTTTACGGATTGTCTCTGCACCTGGCAACCCGCCGGCCCTCGCTCCGCCGATCCTCCATCCTGGCACTTTACCTTCATCCTGGTAACTCGCAAGTCCCCGGACCAAAAACAGGAAGTAAGTATCCAAATCAAAAGTAAAATTCACTTTCTGTTCGGTAGTCGGAGCCGCGGGGGAGCGCGGAGAAAGCGCAAAGTGCGAAAAAAACGGAGCACAAAGCGCCAAAAACACCGTGAAAACCCGCACAGACGCCACAAGCTTCACCTTGTCAACTAACATGGCGCCGGAGATTTTTCGTCTTTGCATTTAGCTGGTGGTTAGCTCATAGTTAGCATCAAAAAACGGCTTCATCAATAACCTCCCGCAGGCATTATGTTCTGAAAAGAGAAATACATTACTGCTGTGGATTATAACGTCTGTGTTTTTATATTTATTTAAATACAAACGACATAAAGTCCACGCATACATCTGTGCGCTGAATGCCAGGGTTGTCGGCTGTGTTTCAAATAGCGATGCATGGGATCTTACGCCAAACCCCATTTAAAAAAAGACCAATTTTACATGTTCTTGCTGAATGTCGGAGTTTAAATACACGACTGGTTTTAATTTGAAGTTAAATCTTTTAAGAGTGGTTCAGCCTGTAATCCGGGATTAGATACTGTCCAATAAGCACGACACATATTTTGATAAATGACGGCCAATCTGCTGTTTTGCTGTGGCCTCTGTTTATCTACATGACTGTGTTTGCGCTGGGGAACAGCGGAGGGCGGTAGCGAGCAGTTTAATGTCACTATAATGCTGGATTTTTACTCAAATACCTGCCTTATTTATATCTAATTTCTCACCCGAGTTTACTCATCCAAACTGATGATAAGTAAAATATCATGAATACTTATGTGGGAGTTGACTGTTTAATCCAGAATGTAATTTGGCTTTAAATAGGAATATTTTTAAAGGGAGTTTGGTGTAAATTTTAGTAGTTTCATTTATTTCTGTGTTTTCACCAGAGTAATGTCTCTGCACTAAATAGCGATGCGTGCATTAAAAAAATAAAATAATGTATTATTATAATTAATAAATCATTATATTATATATACTAATAAAAGTAATAAACTTTATAAAGTGCCTTTCCAGCGTTACAGGGTGCTATAACACAGGAATAACAATATAAAACACAAACATTCAAAGTGTAAAACAAGAAATAACAATAATAAAACAATAAAACTACAAACATTAAAGATAAAACAGTGTATATATATATTGTCTGATTCCACTAAAATTCAAGTAGCGAGCAGCCTGAGCTCGTTCTTTAAGTTTAGATCTTTATAAAAATATGAAACTTGTTCATAAATAATTTCTATCCCGAATTCACCTTTCCCATCTAACAATACATTAAATGTTTTAGGTCATGTTGTTGGAGTTTAATAGCAGTTACATTACGTAATTTAGTTTAAAACGACTGAAATTTAAAGGGAGTTTTGCAACACAGTAGGCTATATCTTTTTTGGGCTCATTATGTTACTTATCAATTACTGTAATCGTCATTGATACATTGAAGTAAAACATGCTTCCTGTTGTCCTGGACAATGTCTTATTTATATATTTGGGCTTTTTTGTTGCCATATTTTTTGCTGTTCTTCACTTTGATTCAACATTTTATAGAATTATTGTCTCTGGGAAAACAATCAAACAATAAACAATAAAATAATCATGATCAATATATATTCCTAAAATGCAATTAAAGCACACAGCACTTAGATAAATGCCATAAAAGTAAGTAAAAGTAAATATATAGATATAATAAAGTTGTTAGTAAGTGTATGTAGAGCAACGGTTGGGTGAATAATCAATAGGAAAATTAATCAAGAACAATTTTGTTAATCGATTTGTCGTTTTTTTTAAGCATAAATGTAAATTATGCCTCTGTTTCAGCTTCTCTACTGTTTGATCTCCTGTTTTATATTATTTAAAATTAAATATTTACTATAAACAGCAGATTCATCGATAATGAAAATAGTCTTAATGGAAAAGATGTTAAAACATGTTAGAAAACCCGATTTTCCTACAATACAAACAGTATCATGACCCAGCGTGTGTGTGTGTGTGTGTGTGTTATTGATCCTCAGCTGCACGATGAGTTCAGCGGCGGAGGATGAGGAGGCTGCAGCGTTAGAAACCGTGAAGTCCGTCACTCTCACTCAGGACAGCGATGGAAGCATCATACTGCACTGTCCTCCCAACGGTGGGTTCACACACACTCTCTCTCACACACACACACACAGATTTCTATTCTTAATGTCATGTGAGCACCTCGAGCAACTGTAACAAACACATTTACAATAAATTGATAAACTATTTCTGATTCTGTGTTTTATATGGAGCTGTTTTATTGCTTTAGGTTATTTTTCAAGTAAAAAATCATCTTTTTTTCCAACTTTTCTATCTTATGTGATAGAAAACAGAGTATTTTTTGGCTTTTTGACTCTTTGTCGGACATAACAAGACATTTTAAGATGTCAAATTGTATTTTTTCGCTCTTTTCTGACATTTTATAAACTAAAAAAGTCATTTAATTGTGAAAATAATAGTGAATAATCCATAAATTATTGTTAAATGCAACTCTAGTTGTGTGTAAACAAGCCTGTGTAGGTGTGATAGGACAGAGCATGTGTTAATCGTGTGTGTGTGTGTGTGTGTGTAGACGAGGACTCGGAGCCCCTCCAGAAGAAACTGCGTCTCTCTGCAGACGAGCAGGACGAGTCGGACACGCCTCAGTTCTCCGTGGTCACCTTACCGAGTGAGAACGTCCTCACCTTTACAACAATGTGCTCTAATCTGTCGTTGGAATGAGCCTTTTTAATCTTATTTCTCATCTCACTGGGAGCTAAATGAGCTTGTTTTTAAATGAATTAACTCATTTTATTCTGTGTTTTCGCAGTGTGATTATTGAAGACTTTCTCTAACTTTAATAATACTT